CCTTACCCCTAACCACCACCCTAACCCATCCACTACCCCACCCAACCCCGTACCCCTAGACCTATATTTATATGAGGTAGGAAATGGGGTAAACATGGGGTACCTATAGCAAAATTGCTATTATTAGGAACTAGGAACACACAAAAAGCAAGCAATTGCGAGGAATTCTTCAGTGAAGAGAACGACGAATGAATTAATGGCTAAGGTTTTCCTATTTGATTCAAAGAAACCAGAATTTCCATGTACGCGAAAACTCCTTGACAGGACATAGAGTACGGGAACTCAAACTCACTTTCTTCTTCTTGTGACTCAGGATCAACTAAAACTAGCTTACTTTGTCCTCCCAGTATAAGCCTATTGGCCTTCCAATGGCCAACAGGATAGCGACCATCAAAGAAAGGCCCCGGCCCCACAGTTAACTTCTTGGTCCAGCAGGATCCCTCATTCCATGTCCAAATATAAAAAACCTTCTCTTTCTCATGAAGAGACAAAAAGGCAAGAGAATCGTCATAAACACCTAGACGTTTGGAACTGGGAAGAAGAAAAATCTTATCTTTAAAGAAGCATGAAGAATGGAAGGCAAATGAAAATGTAAGGTATCCCACAACAAGTGATACAAACGACTCACCTTTCTTTCAACAGTTGAGTAAAACGGCTGTCCTCACTTGCCCATGTGTAACGTTGCAAGGACAAAGCCATTGCTGCAACAGAAACACAACAAATCAACACAAGTAATGATGGCAGATTACTGCATAACATAAAAAGCTCAAAGTTTTCTAAGAAAGCAAAAAACAAAAAGTGCAGCAATCAACAGTGTTTTCCGATTCGATTCTTAAAAAGCAGAGTCCTGCTATACCAATAAACAGAATCAAGGTACCTGGTCGAACAAGCAAGAAAACGGCACCTCCCTCGGATAGGTCTTCTTCGACGATGAATGAAATGACTTCACTTGTTTTTGTTTTCATATTTTTCGGCGACCGCTTGAAAACACAACTGCGTCTGTAGTCCAATGGCTAAAGGATAATTGCCTTCCAAGCAATAGATCCGGGTTCGACTCCCGGCAGACGCATTCTCTCACCAATTTTTTCCTCTACTTTCACTAGACTGACAATTTTTTTTTATCCAAAAAAAATTGTCACTTTCCTTTTAAAGCAATTTTTTGTAGCTCTGTTCATCTGCACAAACTTCAACCACACAAATTTTACTATTCTAATTTTCCACCTAACATCAACTTGGCAAAGTTGAGTAGGACGGAAGCAATACATTATATGGAGTACAAATTACACATAATATAATTTGTACATATGTATGTAACACTTGTACTATACGAACTACTATATTGTCATTAACTTAATACTATTATTATGAACGTGATTGATTTCCTAAAGTTTTATGCATGTATGCCTTCAAACTTTGTCGTGAAATGAGCTGCATTCTCTCAACAATTTTTTCCTCTACTTTCACTAGACTGACAATTTTTTTTATCCAAAAAAAAATTGTCACTTTCCTTTTAAAGCAATTTTTTGTAGCTCTGTTCGCTCTGTTCATCTGCGCAAACCTCAACCACACAAATTTTACTATTCTAATTTTCCACCTAACATCAACTTAGCAAAGTTGAGTAGGACGGAGGCAATACATTATATGGAGTACAAATTACACATAATATAATTTGTACATATGTATGTAACACTTGTACATACATTATTAATATCCGTTTGTTTAAATTTTGAAATCATTATGAATCCCACATAAATGGTTTTATACCACTAACTTCATTAGTCTTCATATGGTCTATGGCTCTCATGTTGAGCCATGTTAAAGCTAGCGCGCAGCTCATTTCACGACAAAGTTTGAAGGCATAAAACTTTAGGAAATCAATCACGTTCATAATAATAGTATTAAGTTAATGACAATATAGTAGTTCGTATAGTATAACGTAAAAGCGTGGAATAAAACTATGTACCCTTGATTTCATGTTCATTTGACATTTAAGCTTCCATTATACTTCGGCATATTTTGTAATCTCATCAAGAAGTTAGAGATATAAGATAATTTAGTTTTGACACATCCTAGAGGCCGTTTGCAAGGCCGTCTTTGGGAATTTTGTTGCCCTAGATAAAGAATGAACCGTGATTCTTATTTTCATTTTCGACATCAATATTTTTATACCTGTGTTTATCATATTTCTCTAAATTCTATTCTATACCGAAGGATAAGGTTTTTTTACATTCCTATTCATAGAAGTCGCAAAAGATTGTACGACTTCATTTTTTCTTAAATTTTCTCTCAAAAGTCACATAATATTGCTTCCGTCGATCATAGCAAAACAGTAAAATAATAACGTAGCACTAATTATTTATATTAAGGAAAATTCTCGATGTAGAAGTAAAAATGTTTGAGAATTCCAAAATAGGACGATCATGTTTTTATTTTCTAAATAGAAATAATTACTGTCAAACATGGAAAATGTTGTCATGTTTAAAGTATGGTACTACCAAAATATGAAAGTAATTACTTCTATTTAGAAAATAAAAACACGATAATTCTATTTTGAAATATACAGACGTTTTTAGTCATATTTAGGACAATTTTCATTTATATTGTTATTATTATACATTAGTAAATATAACTTATAAAGATCAAATTTCAGAATAACTCTAACAAAAATAACTTTAAGTATAAATTCATAACGCAAATTTACAAAGAAAAATCACAATCGGTAATTCGATTTTCTTTTCCAAATTTTCTAATGCTACGTTTTCATTTTAATTAATACATATGTACACTAAGTAATACGAATGTTCGTGTCCGGCCTGGCCGGACAGGAGGCTGGTCCGGCCACCTCCTTTTGAGGTAGTTTCCGGTCGTATTTTTGGCTGAAATGTTTTGTGTATCTTTCTCATCAAGTCTAGTTCATCCATACCAAAATTGAGAAAAAATATCAATCAGGAAGGTCCTCAAATAATTTTTGCTTGATAACTATGTTTTATATGTATATTCTGGACCAGTTATCATGCAAAAATCATTTAACGATCTTCCCGATTGAATTTTTTGCTCCAACTGGGTATTAGTAAACTAGACTTGATGAGGAACACACACAAAAAATTGCAGCAAAAAATACGACCGGGAACCACCTCAAATTGAGGTGGCCGGACGGCCGGACAGGAAAATGACTCCACTAAGTCATACCATTTTTTTTTTGGAAAAAATGGTGCCCCTCTCAAAGTGGTGCCCTAGGCAATTGCCTACCTTCCTAGGGCCCAAAGCCGGCTCTGGCCGTTTGGCAATACTATTTTTCGGCTTATCAGACTTATCAGCCAACTTTTTCACCAAACACGTAACGTTTGCTTTCGCGCGCTGAATTGTGTAATAAGAAGAAAAAGTAAGGTTGAAGTTACTTTTGTGGTTGTATTGGCTAAAGTTACTGTAGATGACCATTTTAGCTATTTTTACATATAATTTTTTCTTTATTTTATTAATAAAATATATTTTAAAAACATTTTTTTTTAATCAGCAGAATCAGCCAATGCAGCCACTTCAGACAGAACTTCATAAATTTCAGCAGAATCAGCCAAATCAGCCGATTTTCGTGCTACCAAATGGGTTCTTAGTTTTTTATAAACCTTTAGGGATTAGGATATACTGCTTCTGTTCCTAAATAAATGCAACATGTTGAATTTTACATTATTCATTTGTTGTACTTTGAATACGTTTTATTAACTAATGTATTGGTATTTTTTTATGAAAAAATATCGTTAAATTTGTCTCATTGTAAATTTTCAAAATCTAAATTTTTAAATTTTTTTGAATAATACAGAATTATATACATTAATGGTCAAAGTTGTGTCTCGACAATTGTGAAATGTTGACTTGCATTTATATATATATATATATATATATATATATATATATATATATATATATATATATATATATATATATATATATATATATATATATATATATATATATATATCAATTTAATTTGTCTTGTCCTACATTGTTGAGTTACGATTGCTAATTAAAATACGCAATGGTCTTGAATGTTACACAAATTTGGTTCTTTTTCATGATAAAACTGTAGGCATTGATATGCATGACAAAGACAAAGATAAAGTAAATAATTACCGAGTATTTATTTTAGAAAAATTGGTTCAAACATTTTACCGTTTTGTGTCATTAACCTAAACCATAAACATGGATACACAACAATCAATCAAGTATCCCATTCCACTGTGATAATATTACGTTTCAGAAGTTTAATTAGTAAAATATTATCCCAATTAAGAGGTACAAAATCAGTAGCGTTTGTAGTCCAACGGTTAGGATAATTGCCTTCCAAGCAATAGACCCGGGTTCGACTCCCGGCAAACGCATGCATTTTATGTTTTGCTTCTACAGTAGGCCGTCATCATACTTATTTGGATATAATTAGTCATGAATATAATACGGAGTATATACATGACAAAAAAGCTACGATGGCTCAATTTATTCACATTTTATTTAATTTGCACGTTTTTTCAAAATAGGTAACAATACTAAAAAATATAAACTAATAGTGCCTTCACAATACATTATTTCGGTGCTTTTGGTGTTGGAAACGTGTGGCTCAATTTATTCACATTTTATTTTGTTGACACTGACGCTTCATCAATGAAGAATGCATATTATTTTTAAACTGTAATCTTTTCACCTGGAATACTAACATTCTCTAATAAATATAACCAACAATTTTAAACAATTTAGTTTATGCAGTGATAACAAATAATCTTTCAGAGTCATCAGGGTAGTCCGAATTTTGTTATTCATAGAATCGTACAAGTATCAGTTGAAAAATTCCATGGTTCATGCCTTCACCCCCCAGTTTCTGTGCCAATAGATATGGGTCATGGGATATGACCGAAGATCATAGATATTCATCAGTTTGAATTCAATCATAACCCGAAGTTGGTCCTAGGTTGAGTAAAATAACAAATCCTAATGTGTATCAGGTATGATAGCACAAAATAACTCCAGTATATGACATTAATCATTATCTATTAAGTTCACGCAAGAAATGAAATAATGGATTGTTTTTGGATGAATGCTTGTCGCAACCTTTTTATAAAGGAATCATCATTGCATATTTGCACATCGTTGGTAAAAATCCGAAGTGTACAAGTGACTGAGAAGCTACTCAAATCATAAAATACACATCCATTTTAGTCTAAAGTCTTGACTAAACTCTTGTTTGTGGAACCAATCTGAGCCTGATTTGACTGACATCATCGTTGCTCTAACAAGTTATGCCGGGAATCTCAGGAACGCTTGGCTTAGGCTTCCTTGTTTTCTCCACCATAACTGCTTGTGTTGTTAAAACTCGGCTGGCAACAGAGACGGCACACTGAAGAGCACACCTCGAAACACAACAGGGGTCAATAACACCAGCAGCTATGAGATCCTCATACTTACCATTCATGGCATTGAATCCCATTCTACTGTCACCAGCTTGAATCTTCTGTACAGCCACCTCTCCATCAATTCCCGCATTAGCTGCAATAAGTTTTGCAGGAGCAAGAAGTGCCTGCAAATTTGTAATCGACAATAATATTACTTCACAAAAACATAAAGATCTTGTTTTCTACAGACAAGGAATTTCAAAACTTTTATAAGTTCAGAGGCACTTGGATTACAAGGACATTGATCACTAAAATTCCTTGAACATTGTCATGTTTCATATTTGCACTTTGATTCTATTATATAATTCGGTATGGACCATGATAGGGACCCGGACAATAGGACTAATATTAGAATATTGTGAAGTGTGTAAGGCACACTTTTGTAAGGGCTGTATTAAAGTCAGTATGGACATATATAAGTCAAGAGGTGTAAGGCACACTTGTATTAAAAAGAATGTATTGGGCTACTCAAACTTGAGAGAGGACCAAAAATGAAAAAAAAAACAGTCAGCACTTGTAAGATAAGTCATCCCAAATGTGAACTAATATCTTTTAAAAGTGAACTCACAAAACAACATCACTTCTTTCCATTGTGCTTTTTTTGGAAATCAATTTCGTTAAATGGGGACATACCAGAGCTATTGTCTAGCGCATTGGTATTAAACCCGCTACAACACTAAGAAAGTTGAAGGATGTGTCTCATTATTGGACTCTAGTGCATGTGAGAGAGGAAGTGTGTTTCTGCGTGTGAGAGAGATAGGGAGAGAGTTGTTTCAGCTGCCACGCGACTTCAACTATTTCCATTCCGCAATCCGCAATTAATAACACTTGTTTGGATGGGAGAAGAAAGTGGGAAGAGAGAAATATGTGGGTGAGAGGGTGAGGAGACGAAAAAGAGATCCAAGAGGGGGGTTGCCATATTGTATGGTAAAGAGAAAAGGCGGATAAATATGGAGAAACAGGAACTAAAAGGGAAATATGCCTTACCTTGCACTTAAGTGAAAACAGAAAAAAAAATCAATTAAAACTGGGCATTGGAGTACCTGTTTCACTATGTCAGCACCAATTTGCTCATCAGGATCTTTGAGAAACCTTTTAACAATGGGTATATGTTTCGAGAGGTGGACAAATGTGGCTCCACCACCAGGCACAATGCCTTCCTTCATGGCAGCAAATGTGGCATGTTTTGCGTCCTCAGTTCTTAACTTTCGATCTTCCAGTTCAAGCTCAGTGTGAGCTCCCACCTATACAAGAACATCTCTGTTAATATGCTTCTTGAACACAGCAGAAAAACAAATCAACTTCATATGGGAAATGGAAAATCATTAAATAGGTCCTCATGCTATAGCGGAAACGTCAATTAAACCTTAGTGCGCCATACTGGGGATTTAGAGCATAACCCACTGAGATGTTATGCTCTAACTTTACGGAAGAAGACCGAGTGTGAGACTTTAACATTAAAAGAAAAAACTGAAATGTAAAATACAGCTATTAGGTGCCAAATGGGTAGCCACATTAGGGTCGTTCCCTTTTTTTATTGAAGCACATCAGCACATGGACCGGTATTACCAACTACCACTTTCAAATTTAAGTTCAAGTCATCACTATACATCATTTCTAATCGATCAAGACTAACCTGATTTGCTATTCCAACAAAAGTAATTATATTGGAGTAATCTAACACAAGTAACTACCGAAGTCAGACACTGTGTGGAAGATAAATGATTCACAATGGAGTACATAAACATTGTGTTTACCTTAATTACAGCCACACCACCACAGAGTTTTGCTATTCTTTCAGAGAGTTTTTCTGACATATACTTATCATCTAAATTTGCAAGATCTCTCTTCATCTGCAATATTCTAGCTTGTGTTTCAGCTTTAGTTGATGGATCAGCAACAATAGTAGTTGATTTGTTTGTTATGGTTATCTTTCGTGCAATTCCAAGCTGATCAGAGGTTGCTCCTTCAAGAGTTAGCCCCAAGTCTCCCGAAAGAAAATCAGCTCCTGTTTGGACCAATATGACTATGAAAATTATAACGTGAAGCATTCACGAAAAGTATTGAAAATTAGAATGTGAGAGCTGAAGAAAATTACGGAGTACTATAAAACACTCCCGCTGTCTCATATAAGTCATGTTTGGTTAAGGTACAACTCTTAAATTTTGGCAAGGCATAACTCTTTCAAGTCATAAAATCATATTTATATTTCAATTTTTTTGCTTGAAACAAAACCTATCATGTTGAACTTGTTGGTAGCTTTTTCAGGAATCTTTTGGCAAACACATGAAGTACTAACTCTATTTTCTGAAAATTAATTTTTTGGGACACTTTTTTTTGGACGAGCCTTTTTTTAACGCAAGTAGCACCCCAGTAGAGCCTGATACTCTACGGATCAAGAAAACAAAAAATTGTTTATTAATTACGACACAAACAAAACATTCAGTAGGGAAAGTGCTCATGGTTTCACACTTTCAGAGACCACCTTAAGCAACCTATTTTTTTATAAATTCAAAACAAAGCATCTAGACTTACCTGTCATGAAAGCAATATCTTGCAAGAGTGCTTTCTTTCCAACTCCAACTCCTGGGCATTTTACTGCAGCAACCATGAGCATTCCTTGCATCTTGTTGGTGACAAGAGTTTCCAATACTTTCCAAGAGAGATCCTCAACTATAAGTATAAGTGGAACACTCAGTTGGATGACCTTTTCTAGCAAGGGAACAATTTCTTCTACGGCTGATATCTTTTGGTCCGTCACCAGAACTCTTGCATTTTCGAATTCTACGGTAGATTTATCCTTATTTGTAATAAAATGGGGTGACATGTACCCTTTGTCAATCTGCATGAAAGGAATGCCTGGATACAAGTCAAAAAAACAATGAAAAGCGAGTGTAAAAGATGTAAGCAAATGCTTGTGAACAAGGTACAAGCATTAACTACTTTAGTTTATTCCTTTATATATGTTTTTGGCACACTGAAAGGAATTCCTTTATCTATACAATAATACAATATAATGGAATCCTTTTTAATGTATATTAAAATTTTGTTTCACATCATCATATCCCGTGATGTGGATTTTGATCGTACAATATGGGACACGACTACAGCAATTATCTCAATACATTGTCATCTAATGGAATTTTCGATGCAAGTGCATAAAAACCTATGATCTGACGGTTTAGAATTTCATCATTAGTCCCTTGTTGCTTACGGGAACGGCATCCAGCATACGGAGTACAACTTTAGCACTGTGTTTTTTGCAAGAATTCACGGCATCAACTAAATTTGAACATGTAGGATGCTGATGATGATGATTAGAATATAAATTTACATTGTAAGAACTGAAGGGTCTCAACTCTCTAACACAAACTCTCAACTTGCCATGTTGTGAAGCGGTGAAAAAATCCTTGAGACTTAAGTCTCTTGTGTTTACTCTTCAATTTAAAGTATTTTCTGAGGTTGATGAATTTATAATAAAATTCATACTGGATCTATTGTTTCCAATAACTATTCACTAAGCCCATCAAAAGCCCCGAATATAATTGTCAAAATCAACAATTATCATCATACAGTTATATTTATAAAGTTCACATAAAAACCAAACCTACAACCAGTGGCGGACCGAACATGGGGGCAAATGGGGGCTGCCCATCCCCCCAAAGAAAATCCCTAGGTTTTTTTACCCCAAAATTTTAATATATACTACCGCCGTCCCTAAATAAAAGTCCCCTTTCCTTTTTCGGCAAACAAAACAGTGCAAAACAGTGTCCAAACAATATTCCTTCTTAGGTTGTGTGCCATTCAAACGGATGCTTTTATATAGGGACGGAGGGAGTATGTATTTGTATGTATTTTTTAACACTGCCACCCCTCCTAGCGGGAATTCCTGCATCCGCCGCTGCCTACAGAAGTGCAAACTTTTCTTGCAACGATGCAAAGGGACTGGACTACTATCAGTCTATCTCTATTTTTCTCCTCTTCTTTCCAGGTAGGTTAAAAACCTCAAACTCCAGCAATTTTAAATGATGCGGAAGGGTGTGGACTCTGGAGAATATGAGCAGAAAAGATTTGTTTGGAGAAGATCTGATTGGAACTTGGATTATCAATCATCTAATAATTCTTAATTCCCAAGTTTTGATGTAAACCCTTCCTCATTTGTTTCAAGGTTTTCATTCTAAAGGATAGAGATGGACTAGTAAAACAAAAACCAATCCTCTCTTTTTATCCCCTCTGAATATCCTTGAACCACACAAGCCCTAACAGTCTACTATTATGTTTAGGATTGTGACTTACTCAATGATTCATACCCATAAAACAATTTAAAAGGCCGAATAATTTTTTTTTAAGGCCGAATCATTCTTGGATCATTTTGCAATTGCACTACAGCACCTAAAGCATGGTTGGCTTCCTAACTTCTACTACTTTACATGATTACAAATATCAAATTAGATACCTTCATTCCCTCTTCAACAACAACTGTAGTTTCAGTCGATGTGGAAGACTCAATACATATCACTCCATCAGATCCAATCTTCTCAATTGCATCTGCTATTAAGCCACCAATGAATTCGTCATTTCCAGATGATATTGAAGCAATGGCTGTATAATGAAAAGGACATAAAAGTTAGCTCCCCATACAGTAATTACAAAGTATAAATTACTGATAAATTCATTTAAAAACCAAACACCCAAAAAAGTACCCTTTATATCATCAATTCCCTTTACTGGGGAGCTATTACTCTTCAAAACATCAATCAATTCATTCACTGTCCTTTCCATCCCTCTTTTCAAAGAAATAGGATTAGCACCATAAGAAGAAGCTAGCATCCCAGCCTTAATCATTTCACGGGCCAAAATAATGGCAGTGGTTGTACCGTCACCAGCTAAACTATTTGTCTTACTTGCAACCTACACCACAAAAAATTGAATGCGCATTTGATGGATCAATCATTAGAATAGCAATGCACAACATTACATCCCAAACCTCCTGAATGAGCATTGCCCCAGCATTTTCAACTGTATCAGATAGCTCAATGGCTCGACAAATAGTAACTCCATCATTTATTACTTTAACAGTATCTCCTTCTGAGAGGACAACATTCCGCCCTGTGTATTTCATTTACAGTCAGACAAAAAAAAAGATTTCGAACATTTTACATACAACCTGCTAATGCATACAGAGTACCTCATAGTTAAAGCGGAACCATTCTGATTCTTCATTGAAAAGTTTAGACACATAACTTTTGTTCAAAATCAAACATGCAAAGATGGCTATCCTCTTAACCCATTCTGGGTAATATGAACAGCCCTTTCCACTACAATCATTTTCATTTTCCCACATAGACTCTTTTCCCAATTCTTTTGTCCCCATAAACAGAGAAACAAATATAATTTGCAGATAGATAATTTGTACTTAGATAATTTGCAGATAGACTATTTTCCACTTCAATAAACAACACTAAAAGGAAAGGCAACATTAATGCATAGAATTCATCGCCACAGACAAGTCCTGAAGAAATCTTACACACACAAAAAACGAGAGGGGTGAAAGCCCATTTAACCTTTAGGCCCTATAGTGATAGAAACGGCATCAGCAAGTTTGTTGATTCCAATTAGCAACCCCTCTCTGCACTCTCTTCCGTAAACTATTCGCTTAGCCCGTGCGCTCACCTCCAATCTTACATTCACCTTTCTCCTCCAAAACGGTACGCAATTTGGCTTTCCATTAACTTCCTGAGAGCAAATTTAAAATACAATAATTATAGTAAATATGCATACTCAAGAAGATATCACGATTTAAGGAGAAAGAACCTAAAATCGCTTACAGTAGGGATTAAAGGAAAGATCAGGGATGAGGAAGAAGACAGGGAAAGGGACATTATTATAGCAGTTAGATCCGGGTGTAGGAGAAATGAAGAGGTTTTTAAGAGGTTTTAGGGGTGCTGAAGAAATGAAATGGAAAAACCGGAAATGAAATGGTTAGTTCTAGGGGTGGGCATGGTCGGTTAACCGGGTTTTGGTTAACCAACATTCGGTTAACAGAGAAATCGGTTACTATTTTTTAACCGAGTATCGGTTAACCATCATTTCGGTTAACCGAGTATCGGTTAACCATAACTTCGGTTAACCGCTTTGCGGTTAACCAAAAACCATAAAACCACAAAATATTAACAGTAAAATCAAATATGAATAGAAACTTCCCAAAAAATGCAGGAATTAAAATAATACACCACATATATAATTATAATACTGCAAACTTAACAAGATGCTATAATACAAACTCCAACAAACTATAATTATAATACTACAAACTATAATAATGACGTATCTAAAATCTAAAATACTGTCATTTCTCTAAAACTTTATCCATATTTAGGTATCAATCACATTTATCTAAACTTTATAGTTTATTCATAGTCAAGTCAATGTCTATTCTACTATAAATATAATTCAATAAGTTGACAGAGTCACATATATTACAAACTCCAGCAAATATAAACTTCGTTATATTTGTGTACGACTTAAGCTAGACTAATAAGATTAATATTGAACTTTCTATTTAATACTCCGGTATCAAAGTTATTTGAGAATTGATGAAGTTCTAATCTTATTAATTATTACAGAATAAAAAGTAGGCGAGTTGTTTCATATGTATCTAGGAATCCAGGTAGTGTTTTTTGAAATATACGACCAACGACCTTAAATTAGCTTACTCGTTACATAGTACATACGAAGCATGTATTATTTGAAATACCGGTTAGCGGTTAACCGGCCATATCTTATTTTCAAAACCATAATCGTACCGTGTACCGTTTTTTCTTGCGGTTGGTTAACCGTACCATGATTTAATTAAAATCGGTACGGTTAACCAAAAAAAATAACGGTTTTCCGGTTTTTCGGTATGGTTAAACGGTTACGGGCTTTTGTGCCCGCCCCTAGTTAGTTCTTATAGTACTAAATAAATGGCGCATGCTCCAAACGCCCAGCGCCTGTATGGTAAATTGGTAAGTTACTGAATAAGTTCTCGTCTTCTTTTTATGGATGTCGCAAAAAGAAGTTCTCATTTTTATAAAAGGAAACCACTTATAATCAAAAAGTCATAACTATTCTTACTTTTTATCCACTTTTTGTTTGATTTGACATAAAGTAATGGTATACTTGGAAAGTTGAAACAAAATTCTACCTTACATAAATATGTGTGTAGGTCAAACTAAGAACTTCTTTACGGGACGGAGGGAGTATTATATTTATTAGTTTATTATTGTTATTATTATTATTATTAATATTATTACTATTATTATTACTATTATTATTACTAGTATTACTAGTATTATTACTATTAATACTATTATTATTTTTAGTATTATTATTATTATTAGTAGTAGTAATACATATACCCCGGCATTTTTGCAATTATTTCTAATTTGAAGGGCTATAATCTGATCATTGCTTCTTTCATCCGCTTCCTTTCCGGCTTATGTCAACTGCAGTGTGCGCGTATGCATCTGGATTATAGTGCTTTGTCCCTAGTTTTTTTTTCTTAACCTTCTTTTGCTTTGTTTATATGTAGTTCCTCTTTTTTAAATCTCTTTCCTTATTTCTTAATCACCTTTTCCATTGATTTCAAATTATGATGAATATTTAATGTGTTAATGTTTTATGTTTCTAATTTTAATTTAACGTAAATATTTATTAGTTTATTAAATATTATGTGCTAGTTACTAACATTAGTTTTGTGTTATACTGAAATGAGTAAGGTGTAAAAAAAATATGCATGGATAAACATTCTAAAAAGAACCCGATTATATTTGTAATTCCCGAATGAAAGACTATAAGTTATTTTTTAGGGATAAGGGTCAGATAGGGTCTCGAACTTACAAAAAAATGTCAAATAAGGTCTTATATAAGATGATCTGTCCGGCCGACGCCATTTGGGGCGGTTACTGATGGAATTTTTTGATGATTTTTTTTTGAGAATCTTATTCATTAAGTCTAGTTTAGTCATACCAAATTTGAACTACAAATTCAATCGAGAAGCCATTCAAATACATTCTTGAAGCTAACTGCGCTTTTAAGTGCGCAGTTATTTTCAAAAATTCATTTGAATGCCTTCCCGATTTAATTTTTAGTTAAAATTTGATATGAGTAAACTAGACTTAATGAATAAGATGTTCAAAAAATTTCATCGAAAAATTTAACCAGGAACCACCCCAAATGGCATCGGACGTACAGAGCATCCTATATATGACCTTATTAGACATTTTTTTGTAAGTTCGATGTCCTATCTGACCGTTATCCCTATTTTTTAATATAAAATTACGATTTTTCATTACTACATTTGTCATTATATACTTCGTAAAATATAGGTGCACAAATGAATATTTATACACATTAGATAATTCAAACGAACTTTTGAATTTTTCGATACTCAGTTTGTAAGTTATGTATGTTCATCTGGTACTAGTTTTATGCTCATTTGAAAATGTCATATTAATCCATATTTCAAAAGTATCTGATGGATAGTCTACCCGGGGGTATATATCAGAAGGGTTATTGCGGGGAACAACTTAGAGAGAAGTCAGAGCAAGTAAGTGAATGTAGAGAGAGAGTGTATTCAGTATGAATGTCGTGGTTACAAATGGGGAAATGGGGTGCTATTTATAGTAGCAATAAATACCGGACAGGGACACGTGTCAAGCGCTTATTGGCCGAGGGGTCACCTCAACTGGTTGGCGCTGGCAGCCGCATGTGGCCGCATTTAATGCGGCTGTTGTATGGGACGTCTGTGCAGGGTACGGTGATCTGTACGCATGTGAGGCGGATATCTTGTCGAGTGAGATGCCTTCGGCTATAGAGCAGTAGCTGAGGGCTCCTCCAACCGATGGCACCCTGGTGCCGAGGGCTCACAATGCCGAGGGCTACTGTTTTCGTCGTTTTCTCCCAGTTTCTTCATTTGCTTGAGAAACCCGTTCTGTGAGAGTTTAGAGCCTTCGGCCAGGGGGGCGAAGGCACCCCTGGCGCGTGGTGTGGGCTGCTTGGTACTCTGGGCGCTGTAATTTGGGCCTGCTGGGCCTTCTGGGCCTGTTGGGCTTTTGCTGGAGTAGTGGGAGTCTGTGGGCCGGGGGTTCCCGGGCCATATACTCCATCAGGAGTCCCTCACTCCTTTTGCCGAAAGGTACTTGAGGGAAAAGGAGTAATCTGTGCTTGCCCTTTGACGTTGTCCTGTCGTAACCTCTGAAGTTGGTGAGGAGTTGTTGCTTTTATGTCCCTGCCGAAGGCAGTCCCTCAGTTACCCACATGTTGGGACTTGAGGGCTTGCTTTGTCGTTTGTTGGAATTTCACTAATTTTGTAATTTTAATGAATTTCCCGAGGGGGTCCTCCAGTCCCCCACTCCTTGAGGCACTTGTAAAGTGGTGAAAAGGAGTAGAGTAGTCGTGTTGCTGTTGCGGGCCGAAGGCTGACGCTTTTCGTTTCATTTTGGGGGGATGCCTCGTTAAAAACCTCATTAGAAAAAACCCTGTGGGAAAAAATCCTAATGAGGGAAAAAGAGTGCACCGAATTCCCCAAATGATGAATCGAAAATGTCAAACCTTGGTCAAAAATGGAGAATAACGGTAATGCCGAAGGCTCTTCTTTTTCTGAGGGCTCATGTGTTGACTAGCCGAAGGTTTGCTGTTGATGTCCTGGGGGTGCCGAAGGGTAGCCCTTCAATATGGGGATCGAGGGCATGATGGATGAGGGCAGTAATTTAATTGTCGCCGGGGGGTCCACTGTTTGTTGATTAGTTGGTGATGAAGATACCCGAGGGCTCCCATTACCTGTGTGCCATGGGTTATCCGTCAATGAGGCAACTCCCCGGGGGCTACCCGGTTTTGCAGTGCTGAGGGGGAATCCCCGAGGGGTGCCCTGATATGAAGCCTTGGGTTCTGAAGGAGTGATCCCGAAGGCGTCTGTTATGTGCTGTGTGGGGCACAACCCGGGGGCGCTTCTAGGTAAGTGTACCCGGAGGCTATCCTTGATGAAGTGGAGTGAAGTAGAAACCCGGGGGCTTCCAGAATATAGCCGTTGGAAATATAGCCGTTGGAATATGTAACGTCAGGATATAGCCGTTGGGGGGGTACACGTGGCGCGTGACGGTTGGCTGCCCGTGGGCGGCGTCACCGGTTGGGTGAAAACACGGTGCTTAATGATGACGGTCCGTCCGGAGGCCCGGTTTTCGGGCCCAAGCCCGGATTCCAGCGCCTATAAATACCCCAAGGCCAGGCATTCCTCCGTGTGCGAAAAACTTGTTAGCGAAGCTCTGCCAATTTTTCTAGAGAGAGAAACAGCAGCCCCGGTTGAATCCTTTGTTCTTAAGGTCAGTTCTCCAGTTACCCTTCACCTCTTAGCTACCTGTACTGTGCCCTTAGGCTAGGAGATAGAACATTTAGAAAACACTAGTTGTACGAGCCTTCGAACTAGAGTCAGAATGTCGTCCAAGAGTGATTCTCAAGATATCTCGGGGGCGCCCTCGATGGAGGATGAAGTCCTCTCGGACGTGGAGTCCTCAGGTGCAGAGTCTTCAGTGGGACAGGATGCCGTCGTTGCCCTGGAGTTGCAGAAAGCCCTCGTAGCTGAGGCGGAAGCCGAGGGCTTCGAGCAAGAATGTGAGGACGAAGAGTTGGCCCTCGCCTGGCAAGCAGCTGAAGAGGAGGCTCAAAGAGAAAGCGAGAGGGTCACCGTTGCTGTGCTCCCCCCTCGGGGTGCCGGGGAGGCCAGCACCTCCCGGCCGCTGAATGCGGTCCCCATCCGGGTGGCCCTCGGAAAGAAGAAGGCCAAGGCCGCTGCTACCAAGAAGAAGGGCAGCGTAGCAGACCAAGGGAAACCCCTCGATATGCCCGAGGGGTACTCCTACCTCAACACCGCCGCATTGGAGATCAAGTCGAAGGTTGATGCGGCGGACATCTATGTCACCCAATTT